AGAACATCATATTATGATCACGTGGCAAAAGGTTAATGGACAAATGATCTTTTACAAAGACGGGGGAAAAAAATATTCAAAAATAATTGCAAAACATCGAGCTCTACTAGCAGGAGGAGTATGGGTGGTTGGACAGGATCAAGACACTCTTGGTGGAGGATTTCAGAATCGTAACAGTTTCAAAGGAATTATAGATGCTGTATTCATATGGGACAAAATTTTGTCGATTGATGAGATAAAGCTTCTGGCAAAAAACTGCAATGCATATTTAATTGGATACAGTATTGGTTATCATGACTTTGAATTTACTAATACTACAAATCGTGTTGAGCCGACTTGCTCCACATAAACATCACAGCTTTATTTCGTTTCTTTTCTGATATACTATTACAACTTATAGAGATTTCTTTCGATTTAACTTTGTTTTAATAAATTCATATGTTAAGTTAACATATGACGATAGCTCCATGATGTAAGTAGGTTAAATTTACCGTTTTAATGGCATTATATGGAATACATGAATGATGATGTTCCTTGTGAAGTTTGATACAAAAATCATAATAATTCATGATAATGTATGAAACGAGATATTTATAGAAAACTGCGTCACTACTATTGATATGTTGGCAACTAATAGGATAAACAATACTGGAATTTAAAAGGCCGTCAATTTTTTTTGATTAAGATGAATGTATATAATACACATTACAATTGGTCTGAACTTGCACGAGATTGATGATCTGTCAAGATAGTGACGTTAATTGACACTTATACTGTTGTAGCTAAAAACAGATCTCATTCTGATCACTAAGTGCAATGATTAACTGAGAAAGAGTAGGGAACCTTTGATTTCGTTCAAGTGAATTAAGTAAAGAAATGTGATGCACACGCTTAGTTTATAAGAGTTGTGTATAATACCCCAGCTAAGACTTTATTAACACCATTTTTGACCATCATGGTTCATTAAACGAGTAAAAATTAATAGTAGCAAGAAACTTTTAATAACTCCTAAACATAAAAAAAATGTCCAAACGCTAAGCCGCTTGGAGTTGAGAAAACTAAGTTACCGTTCGTTTCTGCAAAAAAAAAGGGGGAACATTTTCTATAAAAGTGCACTTTCAAGATAAAATATCAGTAAAATCGATGAACGCCTGAAATCAAGCCTTAATGAAATCAAAAGTTCACTTGAATCTTTAAAATCACACACTTCAGAGTTGTAACTTCAGACCAGTCTCCCTAACATCCAATAAATGACTGTTTTCCAATAATGACTGTTGCAATCAATCAGCAATCTAATTGATAATAAGCAATTTTTTGGGATTAAATGACTTAATTCTTAATTTGTACTCATTTATATTTTCCATGAATGGTAGGAATATATGGACACACTCTGTACCTGCACGCTTACTTGTACCTTAGACGATTCTAAAGCCTTCGACAAAATTGTATGATCACAAAATTGTGATGCAAAGCCACAAATCACAAAATCCACCCAGTTCTGATTAATTGGACTGCAAATTTTCTCACAAACCGAAGATAACGCACGTAAACTGGAACCAGCTTTTCGTGTTTAGCCGAAGTCATTGTTGGGCGTTTCCAAGAAAACCAGACTAAGCCCATCGTTATTTAAAATCATGGCAAATGATCTTGATATTTATGAAGAAAAAGTTAAATTTCTCGACGACACTACATTATGGGAAATCATTTAGAAAGAAAAAAAAATCCAGAATCAGGTCTTTCATTAAAATTTGCGAGTGCTCCAATTGGGCTTTAAAAACACTATGAAATTTAATCCTCCTAAAACGAAAAAAAAAATCAAAAATGTTTTTCAATCTTTGTATCCCCTTCCCCATCCACCATTATTTTTGATGAATATGATGTTTGCAAAGGTAAGCCATCTGTTGAACTTATTATAGTTTGCTGCATTAAGTTTTTCGTACGCAGAAGAAGGTAGTAATCAAGACCTGGGACTGGGATTAACGAGTTAGGCATGTTGCACGATCTGTATCTCGATTTTCCATTTTAAATTTCAATGATCAGGAGGAGAAATGATCTATTTCTTATATGTTTTAAGAGATTACGCTAGCTCATGATCTCAATTTTAAGATATATGCCTATTTAAGTTGTGTTGTCAGTCGTGTTGACCAATGTCTTCATGCATACTTTAAAGTGCCTATGTCAAAAAATGAGACTTTATCTTGTTGGAATTATGAACTTAATAGGAGAAATTATGGACTCTGTCAGATGATGAACCTCATGTTATCATGGTAAAACTAAGTGCTTCTACTGTCCAATCTTTTTTAAGTGGGTGTAGCTTCTCCACATCATCTGCTGTAATGTAAATTTTTTATTTTATTGATGGTACAAGAAAATCATTGTCCAAAGTTACTTTAATAAAGGAAATTGCACAATTTTGTTATCAGGAGCTTGGTGTGAACAAATTAGTTAAAGATATTGCCTGGCACCCTAAAATCCGATTTTGCTGAACTCACTGTAAATCAGTGTACACTGCTGAAACGTTGCCAATTGTAAAGTGGAAACCAACACTACCAACAAGTTTATTGAAATGGACTAAGGCAATTACTATGGCATAATTTTGATAGCTTTTTACACACATCTGATAAGCAGTAGTGACATTGGTATAGGTCTTTGATTTTACCATTAAATGTATTAGCTTTATTCATATATTTATTATAACATGCATACAACATTTAGAGGAATTCTATAAATATTTTTTGTAATATTTGCGAATATCAGTTACATTAAATATTATTTGTAGATTTTGCCTTTTTTTGCGTATTTTATATTTTTTTTTGGTAATGATTGTCCACACGAATTTTTAAGAAAATTTACCAAAGAAAAAACAAAACCCTTGAATAGAGTCATCGCATCCAGAAGTTAATGTAAAAAAATCCACTTGACATAAGCAAAATTTAAGCATGCAATTTTTCACAAGCCCCCTCCTAAGTAGCTAACTGTAGGGAGCCTCGTTAAATTGATTGATTCTTTGAACTGGAAGAAAGTCAATATCTCAACATGACTCCGAGTCACGTTTTTAGTTACTTCATCGTTGCGGCATAATTACACCATACTGCTGCTACAATTAAAATTTTTCTGGCATTTAACGATACACATTTAGAGTATCTTTTAATAAAATTATTAAATATTGCCACATATAGCTGAACAATTGTACAAATGAGTCAATAAAACTTTAAAACACATTAAACTCGTAGAAATTTTTTGCCTTAAATATTCCAAGTAATGCTTTGACAAACAAATAATTTGTAACATGTAGAGGAAGGTGATTGTCATATATTTTAGAATACGCTAAAATTTAAATAACTTAGTTGGGAACTTTTTAAACTGTTCAACTTTTTAAGTGTTGCCTGCGATTCAATTACTAAATAGGACTCATAAATTTTATGATTTGTATTCTCTTCCAGCAAAAGCAAAACATGGCCAAAATTTACCAATTTCTTGCAGTTACTTACGTATTCAAGATTTTTGCTTTATTTGAAGGACATTATTGTATTAAAACGCTTTATGTCTTTCTAGGAGAAATAAAAAGATGAAAAAATGTTGTTTTTCTTGATGTTTATTTATGATTATTTTATAGTTAAGCTGGCTTAATTTAACTGCTAATTTAGATCAAGTTCTTTCATATAACTCATGGCGTCTGTAACTCGGTATTTACAAAAATTTTGCTTACTTAACAAGACTCCCTACAGTTCACCTGAAATTCGGGTATTTCAGGTAGACTTTACTTGCAAAATATTACTTTGATCAACACACTGAAACATTAGAAATGTGATATTCGAGGGAATATTCAAGAATGCCAGTGAAATCTATAAATGCTTGAATAGGATAACTGTTTGATTTGTTATGGCAACCATGACTAATTTTCTTTAACGCTTTGATCGTCTAGTTTTAGAAGGAGTTACCGTAACTTGTTTTCGGTTAATTTTTCTAATTTTTTGTGTGAAGATTGTGAATCATTCAAGAAACATTATGTTCAACATTTGAGGAATTCTATAAATATTTTTTTGTGATATTTAAGAATTTCAGCTTTATGAAAAATTTTTTTTAGATTCTGTTCTTTTTTCGCGTATATAAAATTTTTTTTTATGATAAACATCCACAGAAACTTTTAACAAAATTTCCCGAAGGAAGAACCTTCAATAAAGCAACACGGCCAAGCGTTTATGAAAAAAGCCAACTTGACATGAGCACAATATGTGCATGCAAATTTTCTCCAGTCCCCTGCTAAGTAACTGTAGGGACCCTCGTTAAGTTTATTTATTATCTACATTTAAAGAAATAAATAAATAAACATGACGCCGACGTTACGTGGTTATCCTCGTTGGATAGTTATATTATACCGCTGTTACAACTAAATTTTTCCTGACATTAAAAGATACATATCTAGACTGTCTCTTAATAAAATCATCCCTTATTGCCATATGTAACTGAAAAATTATACAAGTTACCCAGTAAAACTTCAAAATATATTAAAATCGTTTAAAAATCGTATTTCTCTTTGTATCGCTTTGACAAACAAATAATTTGTAACATTTAGAGGAAGATGATTAAATTGTTTATGTGTTGCCTCTCTTACTATACATTAGAAATAACGAAATTACCAAATAATCTTGATCACAGCTTAAAATAAAATTCTTATTTTCAAAATTGCAAGAAAAACAATGTATTTTAGAACACGCTCGGAGATTAATAATTTATTGGGGAACTTCATAAAATCAAGAAAGAGTGAAACGATAAAAATTTAATTTCATTCTTTCCCATTGAATTTGTTACAGAACATGAGATCACACGGTTGATTTATTTGAAAATCAGTCAAAAACTTGGCCATATTCTTGAATTTATACATTCATGATTTAGAGAAACAATATAAACTTTTTTCAGCTGTTCAAACAAATTTTAATTAAAAACGTTTGTGACAGTATATAAATAAATGCATGCATAGACTATGCATCATTTTCTTTGAAGTTACATTTATTTTACAATCGCAAAGTTGTGCTATATTATCAACTTTTAAATATGTTTTCCTCTCTGTCACTGAATTTTCAAATTACTACATATATAATCACACTTGCTTTTGAAGTATGTTGTGGTATTACTGAAAAATCCATGTTGCGTTTGCTGAAAAAAGGTTAGTTTCAGCAAAGTGTGATAACTTAATTTGAAGCCATAATTTTGAAATTTATCTTTCAATTTTATAATTCACAGATATTTTTCGTATATTTTAATACACCTTTCATGTACATGATTTAAGTTGAGAGCAAGAAAAATACTTTCAATCCCTTGATCATTTTGATTCACGAGAAAACTATCAAAGTGCATCTTGTCATCTAATCTATAGCTATCTTAAATTTTGTTTTTAAAAAATGTTTTTACTTCGCCATTACTTTTAGAGACATGTCCATTAAAAGAAAATGTTTTGTTTGAAACATTTTTCGCATCGGTAGATTCATGTGCATTAAAATGTTTACAAGAGCCGTTCTGTGTTGGTTTTAACTTTTGTGAAGATATAGCGAAAAGGGACATAACTTGCCAATTAACCCACACACGTCCACTGAATTATGAACATTGCACAGATAACAAGTGGAGTTTCTATGAATTGTTAAATCCACAAAGAAAGGTACGAAGGAATATTATACTAGCGGTTTTAAGTTATTTTAATATACAGGGCTACTTGTTTTGATTAATTACCCATTTTACTTTTAAAGATACCATACAACAAAGAAAAAGTGTGTGAAAATGGAGGAATAACGACTGTTGACTTGAGAGACGGACCTGGTTCTGATCCTTACAGATGTCAATGTCCTTTTGGCTTTACAGGAAAATATTGTTCAATAAAACTAGGTAAGCTTGTTAGGATATGGGAAACAGTAAAATTTGTTTAGATTTTTGCTACCTTTTTGCCTTCCCTGATAAGTTTTCACTTTACAATGAAAACATGACGAAAACATTTAACTTAAAACAATAAAATTGCAAATGCATACAATTAAAACGACACTATAATATGTACAGTAGAGTAGGTAGTAAAGTGCCTAATTATCATGCTTTGAGTTAGGAGTGGCGTCAGATGAGTCCATGGGGATTATAGTCTCCATGTGAGGAACTTAAGTATTCCCTCCACATGGGGAAAAAGTGACAATTTTTTGGGAATAAACAAAGAAAATGAATCGAAAACTCCAAAAGTCAGTGTTTGTTCTTTTTTTAGTGTCGGCAGTCAACATTTAGTGTATCTTTAATGAATAGTAAACATAGTTGACGTTTACGTCATTCAATGACACAACCATAAATATCCTCATTAAAACTTGCTACGTTTAAGCCCTCGCTTGAAGAAAACCCAAGAAAAGCAAAAGTATCCTAAAGCATTTTATCTGTTTTTATTTTTGTTAACTATATAAGGATTCATGACTATTGTTCTTTCTTGTTAAATTTTTTATGCTCTCCTCAATCTATATCTTTTTCCTTCCTTATCTTTTTCTTCCCTTGACCAACTTGGATGCATGCATACCATTAGTATACACAGATTAAGTTAAACACTACATCTCTCCCCTTTCTCTCATTATAGTTTAAATGCAAACACATAGCCGTGAACACACTGTTAACCCATAACGCCTGAATATTTTATAGTTGTCTATTTGTAAGTTTTCACGAAGCATATAATCTAGAATTAGAACAATTATTTTTTGCGTAACATTCCATAGTTTGTTGTCTGCCATGTTTTGCATCTTTTTCAGCATAAATTATTACCAAAAAATTAATGGATCAAAGAATTTAAGAAAATATGGTGCTCAGAACTAAAACAAATGTCCGCTTTACCCCGTAACGCGTTGCCGTAAAAATGGAGACAACACGTTCCAGATTATTCAAAAAAATGTTCTTCCTAAAGGAGAAATAGTGTGCAATATTTTAAATGAGTTTAAGGGCATATTTTCATTTTATTCCAGTTTGAAAACTTTAAATTTCTTGCTCGAAACACTGGTAAAGCCATCCATATCTTTCTGGTCGAAGCTTGCCTGAACAGAGGATTTTAGCGAAACTTCATTTAAAAATGTTTGTAAAACTGCAGAACCTGAACCTTATGTCGTATTCAACATCAAGTATCTCTGAAATTACGTTATCAAAATTGCGTTAATCGATTGCGAAAGGCATCAAATTATTCATATTTCAATAGTGAACTACTCAAAAACTGCGGTCATTGAAGGTGGAATGAAGGGAACTAGCACTTTCCATTGCATATTCTACTTATCAGTCGTGATATATTCTGTATCAACTAAGAGATAGTTTCAGTTTTTTTAATCTTCAAAAAGGTATTTCCTTCGAGATTTCGAAGCTGAATAAACGTGTGAACGCTTTTTGGTGCAAGTGAACAAGCAAAATTAGAATAACGTGGAAGAGCATAATCTTGTGAATTTTTCAAATTTCCATTTCCGCCGAATGAAAATGACATATTGACTATTGCCTTGTGCAACAGTAAGGTCAGTTTCTGACATAGTTACTTGCTATATATGATAAAAATCACTCAATTAAGCTTATAGTGCTTAATGATGCATGTATCAAATGGAATTAATATTATGGTCAGTCACTCAGAGGAGGCAACACAAGCTTTAGATAAAGTCATTATGCTTAAAATGTAGTCATATGAGCCACCTTTGTCAGAAATAGCCTAGACAAGTTCCTTATTCATGAAAGTACTTCATGTTCTTATATTTTTAACAATTTACTAGAAAGTTAAATATCATATTTTCTTAGTAAGTCGTAACCAAAACTTTGGATGTGTTGATAAATTTTGCTCTTCAAACAATTTTAAGCATACGTTTACTTGTGAATAATTTTCTACCACATGAATTAGTTAGGATTATTTAGGGACTCTGTCAGATGAAAAACCTCATGTTATCATTTTAGAACTAAGTGCTTTAACTGTCCAATCTTTTTTAAGTGGGTGTAACTCCTCCACATCATCTGCTGTAAGTTCAATTTTTATTTTATTGAAAGTACACAAAAATCATTGTCCAAAGTTATTTTATTGAAGAAAATTGCACAATTTTGTATCAGGATTCTGGCGTGGAGGAATTAGTTAAAGTATTTCCTGGCACCCTAACATCCGATTTTGCTGAATTCACTGTAAATAAGTGTACACTCCCCTGCTCCTGGATCATCACGTTGTAGTCGTGCAAGAGCTTAAGTACTTCACTTAAGGAAAACTAAGAATGATCCAAACCCGGTCTCCGAACTTCGATTTCGAACTCTCGGAACCACACCTTCAAGCTCTTCTGGCTTGATGAGACACAAGCTCGCTTCATGAGACACACATGGAGGAGTGACGACCATAAGAAACTGCTATTACTACTATTGTACACTGCCGCAAGGTTGCCAAGTGTAAAGTGGATACCAACACTACCAACAAGTTTATTGAAATGAACTAAGGCAGTCACTATTGCATAATTTTAATAGCTTTTTACACACATCTGATAAGAAGTAGTGGCATTGGTATGGGTCTTTGATTTTACCATTAAATGTATTAGCTTCATTCATATATTTATTATTTCATGCATATAACCTTTGCTCTTTCTTTGTTTGCTATTATGATTAAGACTAACGAACGAATAAGAATAAAGCCCGCATAGTTGTTTGGCCACAAAACCTAACCACTTGGCTAAATTGAAAGGTTTTACTGCAATGCATTGAGGTACAATTTGGTAATATTAATTTTACAAATTTGGCGTCAGTTTAATGGCAAGCTTATTTGTATTACGTCAGAACGAAAAAACGTTTTTTTCAGTACCTTTGTAAATAGACATGATTCTCCACATTATTTTATTGTAACTATGTTTTTAAAACTTCAAACATGAAAAATTATGTTTATACAGTCATATTCTAAATAAAATAATTATAAAACTTGTTATTAAAGTTAAAAATTAAAAAAAGCATATAAATAAAGTTATTATAATATTAAATTTTATAACATCTATACCCCTAAGCGGCTATGATGAAAACCTACAACAAATCGTATCCCTCCCTCCCCCCCCCCCAAATGAGGACTAATTTTTTTCAATACTAACATTAAATGTACATAAAACAAACATTCTTTGCAAGAGAAAATTTGCACCTTTAATTCTAAACTTTTTACTTAAAGTGTTAATTAACTACAAAGTCTTATAATTATTTCTGTAATAGTCGACACGATCAATGAATTTTTGTTACAATTAAGTATGTGTAATAGCAATTAAAAAAAAATTGAAACCAGGTCTTACAGCTAATTATTTGCTTTTTCTTTAACTGCACATAAGATCATTTTTAAAACACCAAATGACTTACAGCATTTTTTAAAATATTATAATAAATGTAAAACATCCACAAACGTTTATTCTGCAAGCTTATCCTCAACTAAAGAAAGATTTATTAAACTCGAAACCAGTTTATTGTAATGCTTATTCGCTTAATTGACAAAAAAGTAAATTGCAACTAAAGATCAGCAGAAATAATGTCTATAAAAAATAAAATTCTTGTTTTTAAAGCCAAAAGTCGTTCACTTAACCTTACTAAGACTTAACGAACATTCATAAAATTTCAAAAATTTTGAGTTATTATATTCAAAAGCCTCAGACATCATAAAACATCTTGCAAGCTTCAAGGAACAAAAATCCTCTGAAAGGGTTACTCTAAATGTTCTTTAAAATACAATGGTCAATTTTTAATCCAAACCAATCCTCGTTTTCACAGAGCTTCGATATTAATCTTATGAGCAGCTTTAAACTGCTAGGCAGTTGAATGAAATTCGCATTCATGTGACCAACAAAAATTGCTTTTTTCATGTTTTGAATGCATTTAACGTGCGAAAAAGAAAAACATGTTAATTTTCTTAAATAGTGAATATGCTTTTTTCCTAGCAAAAAATGTCGATTGCGCAGATCTTTACAAAAATGGCAAAAGAGATAGCGGAATCTACAAGATTGATCCTGACAATCGAGGCAGTTTTAATGTATGGTGTGACATGAACACATCTGGAGGTGGCTGGACCGTATTTCAACGTCGTCTTGATGGTAGTGTTGATTTCTACAGAGGATGGCAAGATTACAAAAATGGCTTTGGAAATCTAACATCAGAGTTTTGGCTTGGATTAGATAAAATAAACAGACTGACATCTAGAACGCAAAACAAACTTCGCATTGACCTGGAAGATACTAAAGGAAACAAGAAATACGCCGAATATGATTTCGTTTATGTTGCAAGTGAAAGGCAGAAATACAAGTTGAACCTTGGAACATATTCAGGTACAAAATGCTGATAGTTATCCAGTAGCCGAGTGAAATTAAGAAAAAAAAAATTTTGTGAATTTTAAAAATGACAGAGGCTTCCTAAAGTATATATTTTCTCCAGACTTTTAACTATTTTGTTGTTTTCAGTTTATCATTCAACACTTTAATTGATTTTGCCTGTAATATTGCGAAAATTTTAATTATTTTTTAGTTGATCAGAAACTTTTGGATTAAGTGACAAGGCTAAAAATTATCTCCATACCATTTAAACAAAAGCAATATTGTCAAGTGTTAATCTTTTAAAAAAACTATAGGGCTTTCAACAATGTTACATAAACAATTTACATTTTTTGACTTTACAAATCAAAATACAATTTGGTAAATTCACTCCCATAGTAACTAGTAAACTATACTTTAAAATCAGAGGCGGATCTAGGGTATGTCAAATCAGTCACGCGACACATGTTTATAGTTAAAAATTATTCATCAAATTTAATGATTACAATTTTCTTTGATCATTAAATTTTCGTTCTGTAATCATTTGGATTTCATCGTCAAAATTCTGTATTATGTATGAAAACTTACACAAATACCCCCTTAGTAACCAGATCAGTAGATAAAAACATATCTAGAATTATATTAACTGGCTGACTGATAAGCGGGATGGCTCGACTGGTTCGACCGATAACGTAGTTCAAGAACGCTTATTTAAGCCATTCCATTGGTCAATAGCCAGATAAGTGAACTATATGGAATAATCTCGACTGATAAGCGGGGTGGCCGGACCTATAAGTGAATCCAATTTCCATCGTGTAATTGGTTCGTTTAAATTTTTGTCTTACTGTGATTGGGTTGACCGATTTCGATTGCTAGCCAGCTGAACTAACATAGTCAAGCTCACTGTCTGAATTGAATGTTTGATGGTTTCATAGTAATTTTTTTAAAGCATAATAGAAACTAAACTACGATGAGATGGAATTTATGGCAGTATTTTGCAAATTCATTTATTGACATGGATGCTCTTGTCCAAACTGTGAATTTTTTTAATAGTGTGAAAAATTTATGTATAAATTTTAAATGCTTAGCAAAGACGATCTCGCGAGCAAAATTTCAGTCATTGATGTTCAAAAGCAAGCCAACAGTGTTTTCTGATTTATCAAAAAAAATTTACATCCAAAATCGTAAGTAAAGGAAAACTGTGTTAATCTACGGCTCATACCAGATTGTTTACCATAAATTACAAAGGGCTATCGATGTATGAAAACATTTTCTATAAATTAAAAATGTCTTCCTGTGTATGCAGATAAACCTTGAAATTTGGCAAAACAGCAAAGTATTTTTCATGATCACTAGGAAATTTTTCTGACAATCATTACAATTTCTAAACTAAAGTATTTCAGATTTACATTTAAACTATCTTTGATCATATGAAAAGACGTTTATCATAACCAGTTAGCATAAAACATGAACCAATTTTAACATTCATGTAATTATATAATTAAAGACATGTTGGTTACATTCTGTTTGTATTTGCAAATACAATGCTACTAGTGATTGCTATATAGCACACCTTGCATATACTTACAGAAGATAATAGTCTAGTGAAATGCCTAATAAGCATTAATGGCATTAAGCTGTCCTTAATTGCAAAATTTTCACTCTGATAATTTTTGCTTAATCTTTGGCAGATAAACATATTGAGTTTTTTCTCAAAAGGTGAATTTGCTGGCACTGTATGTGGAGATGGGTAAAGGGTTACAATAAACTTGCATGGTTTGAAGTCTGAGCTTTTCTATATCTATGAACTGTCCCTTGTAGTAACAAAATTGTAACTTAACTCATTACATAGAGGTTTGAATGGGGGTCTTAGGGAGGCCTATGCCTGGCAAATTGGTAAAAAATTTTAAAGACAATATCTTTTTTGGAATAGCATTATTGTAACGGAAATTTTACATTCCTAGACTTGCTAATCAGCCATACATTTAGCATGATAATGAGCCTAAATATTTGGCAAAACATTCAAGTTTTGTTCACTTCATATTTTTTTTAAAGAAACCTAAGCAAAATGTGTTGTTTTTACGCAAAAACGATGCCCACAAAATGCATTTTGTATTACACTAAAACGCTGAAATTGGCATTTTCAAGTCTCTGAAATTTAAAATTTCTCTGGGGAGAATGCCTCAGACCCCCCAGGTGTGGAGTGCCTCCGACGTTTTATGACTGATGTTTGAAAAATCCTAGATCCGCCCATGCTTAAAATGATTGTCTATTTGTATCAGACATTGTAAAATGCTTTTCAACATGTGTTTTGCATAAGAAATATACATTTAGACTCAACTTAATCTTTATAATGACCTGAATTATTCTGTGCACATACTTAGGAACAGCTGGTGATTCGTTCACTATCCATAAAGGAATGGCATTTTCGACAAAAGATTCTGACAACGATAAAAGCTCTGGCAATTGTGCAAGCTTGTATAAGGGCGCATGGTGGTATGAAAGTTGTCACCGTTCTAATTTAAACGGGATCTATCATTATGGTCAACACTCCTCATATGCTGATGGTATCAATTGGCATGCGTGGAAAGGCCATTACTACTCCTTAAAATCCACTTCCATGAAAATACGACCTCGTAATTTTCCACTTAAGAAGTGAGAACTTTCATTTATTTTCTTCTTTTTTTCTGTAATTAAAAATTAATGCATGTATACAAAATAGAACTAGAATTCACGCATGAATAAATGCTCAGAACTTAATGATGTGCAAAATATATTCCGCTTGAAAGGTTTCATTTTGAATATTAACTTTATCGTTAAATTAATAATTAATAGATTGGCATACCTTACAATGTTTGAGTGCAAGTTATTATAAAAATTATTAGTTGTTGTATGTGGACGGTAAAAAGCTTGTTTTTGTATGTTTCATGCAAATACTTTAATTTTTTTATTAAACATCATAATTTACCTGTAGTAAAAATTGCATGCAGAACATAAAAAACGTCTTCCAAGAATGTAATGTAAATCTGGAAGTAGCGAAGTGCTTTTAGTGGAGTATTATTGGCTGAACTTTACATCGGATTCTTAGTTAAATTATTATTTGCAAGACCGTTATGATACTCATTGATAATGTTCTCCTTATAAAATAACTTAGCACTTACTGATTTACACTAACTTATGAGAAATTTTTATTATCTTCATAACTGTTGCTGTCTTGACCATTGCTTATTATCTTGGTTATTCTTTTTATCTTAGACATTCTCTGGCCGTTTTAGAACTGTCTTGACAAGTCTCAATTTATTCGTGTATTTTAAACAGTGTACCATACAAGGGTTATTTGTTAAATAATTTGTCGTTGCTTACAATTTTATTAAGATGGCTTTAACTCTACATAGTACTATGTCTTTAAAAATGTGATGCAATGAGCTTCCCTAATGTTTTATACTAGAACAGAAGTAGAAATTATTTACTGATATATAAAGTAGACAGTTATTTCAAATAATGACAACTTATGGCATTAAATGGAAATTCCTTTAAATTTCGGATCTTTATTTATCTTGAAGAAAAGTTTTGAAATGTTGACATTTATATTAAGTCTGCGAGTTTTAAAGTGTTATTGGTAAATTTAATAGTTAACGTACATTGATAATGGTCAGTCAAAAATTGGCGCAATATTGCGCTTACTGATGAATGATTTTACAAAGGAAAATGGAAGTAACAAAATATGGAATTCTGTCATTGAATATAATTGTTGACTTGATCTTTGTACACAACACTCTATTTGCTTTACTTTCACCGTCTAGACAGGCTATACAGGTCACATGCCCAGGAGTACAAGGACAGTTTGTGGAAGAAACATGGCAAATGGTTTGGTATTATTTTATGTTATAGTTTAAAACGCACCTTGTACATTTTGTTACTCTAAATTTATTTTTATATTCTTGTTCCTTGAAATCAACATTACAATAATTATATATTCACACATCACAGGAAATTAAATTTTGTAAGGATATGAAAAAATCTTAACATACTATTTAAATTTCCCATTTTGACTTTATTATCGTTTGATTTGAGACAGGCCAAAGTTTTTATAATTTCACGATTTGTTTCTAGTTAGAGCAATGAGTACATGTTTGGCAAAGTGAAAACAAAATTGCTTCTTCAAACATTGATCCCACTTCAAAATTGAGATTAGAACCTTTAGTTTGACCGAATTCAGTGTAAAACCACGAAATTGTTTTGCCAAAATCAAAGGCTCTATTTTAGGCTCAACACAATCGGATAAACTAATCGGAACAAGTAATTTTGAAAACCAAGTTCAGCGCACCTGCACAAAGAGGGTTTATGCATGGTGAGAAGATCTTTAGGAGAGAGTCTATCTATCTTTTTAATTAAATGTTTCTCATTTTATAACAATCAGAAATAACAAACTGCTATACTCCAATAATAATTGCAAGACATAATAGCATAATGCAATGTCGGAAATTTAGTGCTTTTAATGATATTTCATGCTGTTATTTGAATATAAATGAATTAAACAAAGCTTTTTTTATCGCAAGACAGCCTTCATTAATATACAATACCAAACACTGCATTGCACCATATAATAAATTAAATACACTTTTTTTAGTGTATTTAATTTATTATATGGTGCAATGCAGTGTTTGGTATTGTATATTAAAACCAATATGGATATGTGCTATGTATACTACAAATTAATACAACTATTTTCTTTTATTGTTTTGGAAGAGTGAACACGGAAATACCTACATAAGAAACTATAATGCAGGTTACACAACTGCGTTCTATCGTGTTTCAATGAAATAAAAGCATAAATAGTTAAGCCGTTTTTAATTATCTCGCACAACGTTTGTCTAATATAAATATTTACATTAAGTAAAGAAATAAAACGAAATGGATATTGTGGTCGATATTTCCAACAAATTAATATGGATTACCTCGTAAAACGCCTCTTAAAAGTACATGTTTTTTGCACCATATAGTTATGCGGAAAGGTTAAAGCATTAACAACGCAAAAATTCAAATGATTAATGAGTCAAATTACCACACCAAACTGGTCACGAGCCTATTCTCTACAGGAGTCTTTGCCATGCATGGTGAAAAATGGGCGTAAGAAACGTAAAGAAAACGATTATTCCATTAATATGTAACAAAAAGTTTGGTTATACCAGTTATATATAACATAAAAGTTGCAAGTTTATAAAGATGGCAAGGACTGGACAGATGAGCCGTTCTTTCTTCAAAAAGATCTTTTCTTCATTGGCTGACGTAAAGTCTTATGTCATTATCTCATTTTGTATTGCGTTTCTTCTTTCACTGAGCTCAACTCGCCATCAAACGCAATTGAAATTTTAAAATCAAGATCCCGCTAAACAAAATGAAAAAACAAAACTTTTAGTCTTGCTTATAGTATACGAAAGAAAACGAGACAATTAAGTATTGTACAAGTACATAAGTTTGGTGACAATAAAATAAAGTCATTTACATTATTTCTAGAGTTTTGTTTCAATGCAAAAGTTCCTTCGATTTTTTCACTGTGTTTAACGGTCAAATAATCATTGAGGTAAAACACCGTCTGTTTCCAATGAGTATATCTTGCTTCAGGACCTGGGAAATACAAAATCAAAATCATATGTGTCATGAGACAAATACGTAAGTATTGAGCAATGAAATTTTCTAACATGGTACGAAAGTCAACATAAACAAAATTTTTTTCACGAGAAGTTGTCTAAATTTCAAATTTTATTAAAAAAAACCACAGCGTTTAGTACCAGCTGAAAATCAAACTCCTCGTTATATCAAAGTTTTTAAAACTTCAGTATCTTATAGCATAGTTATCGAAATAATCAAACCTCAGTCTCTGCCAAGAGTACTTTGTAATTTTCCCATGTCAAAAATGAGGATAAGTACCTGTTGAAAACCCTGTTCTTTTATGACAATGTGTAAACTCTATGGTAAAATACGATACAAGAGCCTGGATGTAATCATCACGTTGGGAGAACAACTGATAAGAAACATCGAACTCGAGATCTTCTTTTTGTACCGTTTCAATATTAATCTCCTAAAAGAAATGAAAAACAAATCCAAAACGCTAACTTTTTTCTTCAATAAACCAATCCATGCATGATAATTTTTTTTTTTTAACTCCATAAAACTTTTCCCTTCGCTAACAGCCTTCAATTTCTATAATTTATTTTTTTGAACTGGCAAACGAGTCAACAATGAAGATGAAACAGGCGATGACGATTAGCTCGTATGCTTCGTTGAAAACGGTTTACTGATTTTTATAAAACTTCGAATGTTATTCAAGTGCAGCTATCAGGAAATGAGACTTTTTGTCATTAGCAAAGTTCTAAACTTAAATTGCGAAAACAATGATTTAATTTTAAATTGAACTTGTTTTTGAGAAGTAAAAGTTTTTTAAACATTTTCGTAATTGTAAGTATGTTAAGCATTGAACTAAATATAACTGGAAGGCTACCTTCAGATATATCGGTAAACACATGAAATGAAGTCAAAATTTTGAATGTTAGAAAAGTCATGATGTGAGGGTTACTGATGTGCAACTACGTTATGTGCAACTATTACTAAATGAATAAAATATTTCTTTATTATTTGTGTAGACAATTATTTTCCTAATGGTCGCAAGTAGTCTCACTCCATTGTGCAACTTGGTGCTGTATATTTAATTAGATTACTGACTGCGTCTAGTTATCTAAGCCCTCCTATTGGTCAGAAAATTCAATTCACTGGCTGCCACTACGCTAATCACATGCGCATTAAGATATGCGCTATCCAAAAAATATCCATACAGTGGGAACACTGTTTGTTTCCGTACTGTGGTGACGTCATTTTCCAATTAATTCACGATGACGTCATCATTTTCAATGGAAGGATATCATTTAAATGGATTTAAATAAAATAGCCTCAAAGAATAAAACTTCCATCGTCATTAAAACGAAAAGTTCCTATTGTGACGTTAATTTCAGAAAATCGCCCCAGTCTCATTTGCGCATTTTTCTGATTTTTTACTACTTTAAAATCCAAATTCAGCAAAGACAGCGCAAAATCTAAAGCTCCCATTTAAATTTTGTTTTAGAACTTCATAACTCATTTTAACCATTGGTTTTATAAAACGCAGCATCCATTTTACTAACAGGGACACTTTAAGATTACTAAACTGCTGAAAGGCGCATCCGCCCTCACATTAAAATCAATGAAAAGCATGAAATTAAAATCATAAAAAGTATTTGAACAAATCACCCGTTTTTGAGGGTAGCCACTGCGTATGCGCGGCTAACTACTATGCTATACCTAAGAAAGTGTTTGAGTGAGAGTCTGTCTGTACGTCGTGATATACTCAACCGAGTCCTCGGTGATAGTCTCATATTCGAACGATGACAAATAGTATTGTTTTGTTTAGTATAGTCAATGCTTATGTCGTTCTATAGTTATCTGTGCTTTAGAGCGCATTATCCTCACGTTGTTTTAGTGACTTTTGTCAAAACTTTGCAGCTGAAAATATCATTCATTTATATGTTTAACTGGTGATTACAGACGTGAAATATATGTCGTTTGGGCAAAAAGATACAATAAAGTAAATGGTTTGAACCCGGGAGTATCGTTACATGTTTGTAAATCTGTAGATGACTACCGCTAAGGTTGTCGAAACGTCAGTCAACAACAACAAAAACAGTCCTTCTCAGGACTTTCTCAACCTGGACGATCATCATTTACAAACATGTAAAGATACAATAAACTTGATACAGTGTTATCCTGATGAAAGAACGACGTGTCTATTCACTACACGATTGTTAGACAAATAGGATGTAATATTTATTTAAAAAAATCGTTTTAATTCAATATGGCAAAGCCCTTATCTGTTTGTAAATGATGATCGCCCAGGTTAATAAAGTCCTGAGAAGGACTGTTTTTGTTGTTGTTGACTGACGTTTCGACAACCTTAGCGGTAGTCATCTTCAGAGTCAAATGAGGAGTAAACGTCAGGTTAGCCGTATTTGCTATCTGGTCTTTACGTCATTGTATTGTGTGTACAGGAAATGTGTATTGTCATTGTGAATTAGTGTGAAGTGAAATATTTTATTTTTAGTTGTGATGTTTTTAGTTGTAATGTGTGGGTGTCAATTGTGTATTGTCATTGTGAATTAGTGTGAAGTGAAATGTTTTTAGTTGATTGTTTGTTTGTATTGTGAATAAGTCGTTTGTAAGGTGCCGGTAATTGCTGTGATCTGTTCAGGGGGGTTTGTTCCAAGTTGGTATACCAACTTTCTAATGTAAGCCGTTGTCTATAGTCAGTACTGTAAGTAATGCATTTTGCCGAGTCCCAGTCAATGTTGTGATTTGTGATTCGGTGATGTTCGGCAATGTGATTAGTTTTGTCTTGTTTCTTAGTAGCTCGTTTGTGTTCAATAAGTGTTATGTTTAAGTTCCTGCCAGTTTCCCCGATATAGGAGGCGTGGCAGTCGGAGCAGTTTATTTTGTAAACTGCACCTTGTCGTTCGTTGGGTTGTTCTTTGTCCTTTATGTTCGTTAGTACTTGTCGTAACGTTGTAATTGGTTTATGTGCGACAGGTATGTTGTATGGTAGTAAGATACGCGAGATAGTCTCAGACGTACCTTTGATGTAAGGTATTGTTGCTGTTGTCACTGAGTTGTTCGTTTCGTTGGGTTCGTTGGGTTTGTAAGTGTTGCGTTTGATAAAGTCAGAGTTATAATTGTTTTTGTCAAAAAACACGTTTGAGATAGTTGTTTTCGTTTTGTAGAGCGTCTGGTGAATCACATATGGTTTGTGCACGTCTTGTTAATGTTCTGATTGTGGTGGCTTTGTGTGATGTAGAGTTGTAAGATGATTGGTCTAGTAATCGGTCAGTATGTGCTGGCTTGCGATAAACTGTTGCTCGTAGTTTTTGATTGTCTCGTTTTACCAAACAGTCGAGAAAAGGAAGAGTTCCGTTTTCTTCGACATCTTTGGTAATGTTTCTTCGACATCTTTGGCTGTTCTGTTTGTTGATGTGAGTATGAAAGTCATCAATCTCGTCTGCATGTAGTGCTGTGATTGTGTCATCTACGTAGCGAAACCAAAAAGGTAGTGCATGTTTGTAAGTCGTGAGCGCCCGTTCCTCTATAGATTGCATTACAATTTCAGCAACTACAACAGAAACGGGCGAGCCCATTGCTGTCCCATGTAATTGTTTGTACACACTACAAAGTAAAATGCATGATCTAACCAATATGAATGTTAAGGTGGCTTGCGGCAGCCATTAATTTATTTAAAGAAAAATACAACACCAAGTAGAGGGGCTATTGACGACTGTTCGCTCCGTGTACTGTAACTCTGGTCAAGGCTACATTCTTGTACACACTACGTACCTATTTTTGCAAAGTTTGGAAGACGCAAATGAAGAAAAAATGACTTACTTTGAGAAGACACGAGTTTGTTACAATCTGTTTTGCTTCGACAACGTCAACAAGAGGCTCAGTAATGGCCACCTCACGAATGCAGCTCATATCAAAGCCATACACATTATCCCACCCTGAATAAAATGTACATTTTACTATAAGTACTTGAGTAAAGAAAACATGATATGGCGTCATACAATATGTAAACATAAGTACTATGTATATGCTTTATCTTTCCATAAGAAGTTACAACGAAGTTTCGAACATAATATAAGATTGTAAAAATCATTAGGAACTAAAAATGATATTTTCATGAGAAAATTGTTAAGAAAAAGCTGATAAATTGCTTTACCTTTTATTTCAATATTATAATTTAGACAAGACACCTTGAGTGTTTTCACAAGTGGATATTTTTTAAATGGTCTCTATCGTACCAAAGGACACATATTACACAACATTCCGGAAGAAATATGATAGAAATCATTCAATCAACCCAACAAGTATAGTAATTATTATGATAAAGTCTTCAACCAAAAAGAATGGACAACTTACAAAAGAGCTTTCTTTATAGACTGTTTTATACATAATAAAGTAATATAGCTTTATTTTGAGTTAACCTATAACCAAGACAAGCCGACAATTTTAAATAAAACAAAATAAAACAGTTTCCGAAAACAGACATCTCGTTTTTTAATATTCAATATGATACAAGAGTCTTAGACAACAGATTGTGTAATATGTCGTCTTTATTCAAAAGACATCGTCATATTAAAAGTTTACCACCCGTTTCGCTCATTCCAAATGGGTATTACTCAGAGTTCTAAATTTTAGAATGCGGAAGATAGCCAATTTAGATTGCTTTCTGTGCTATCTAATAATGGATGCGGTTTGATGTTGTTGTACACTATTCCACACATGAGGATAATAATATCTGTGATCGTCGCCATTTTTGTTTCCAAACATACACAAATAATCTATACCAAGGATTATTTAAATACAATGTACAACAGACCTGAAAAGTATAACAAACTTTCAAGAGAGCAAATTGATGCTCTTAATTACTATTTTGAGAATGGCATGAAATCTACTTTGTGTTTTGAGCTGATAAAAACAGCCGCCGAAGAAACGTCGTTGTCTGTGGACAAGGTCAAGGTAAGAACGACCTCTTCTTTAGTCGTCCGCCGTCTTTTAAAAATTTTTCTGTATGCAGTAAACCAACTACGAAACCAGTGCCATCAAATCAAAGCCATACGTATCTCAATAACATCCCTAAATTTGTATTTCTACTCCACATTAAATTGTATGAAGTTCTACTATAAACTTTCCTTTTTCAAAAAGCACATTCTTATAATGTATTGTGATATACAATGGACATTGTTTATGTACAGAGTTATAGGCTGTGAAACAAAGTAATTGGTGCAGCTTTATTGTAACACTTGATGTTATAATGTCAGTAAAAATTTCACAAAATTTGTTTGATACTGCATGTTTTGAAAGTATTCAAAAGCTTCTTCACAACTGACATTATGCTTTTTTCAGAAATGGATTGGCAACAAAGTTGCTTCTGTCAAAAGAAAATGTCAATCTAATAATTCGGAGTCACCCCTACCCTCATGTAATCCACCAAAAGTCCCCAAACCATACCAAGATTACGGGGGTCAAGCGGATATAATCTATTTTGCTCAGAATTTTTTAAATCAGGTGAATAAAATATTAAATCACTTTAGTATAATCAATAAGGGTTTAAGGAATGTTACCCATCAAGAATTTGCTATGATGAAAGCGTTGACAAATTTATCCATTATTGCAGATGAAGTAAAGCGGCTGTCTCACCTGAGTGAGAAAAGTAAATTGGCTTTTGTCAAATGGATTGGTCTTGGAGAATCCAAGCAAAATAAATACTACAGAAAGCTAATGACATGAAAAACAACCCAGTGACATTAGATGATGCTCAAAGAACAAAATTGATTGATCAGCATATGAAACTTTTAGCTGAGGAGGTAACAGTCGTTTTAATAAATTAATTTTGCAATGAATAGCAGAGGTAGCATTAAGTAATTAGAATTAATTAGAATAGGCTATTGATTGGGGAGACTTTAGTCTCTGGAAATGTACATAATTCATGGTATTCTCATAAAGGAAGTTTATATTGCCTTAACATTGGATGCATTTCTAATAGTGTTATATAGAGTAAAACTCTTTGTTTTGAGCATGTATTTTTTGTGCAAACATGGTTGCAGTCATTACCAGATAGAAAGTTATTTTTTACTGCAAACTTGTCTTTCTTTTGGCATGAAATTTGACTTGAACGTCATCTGGCATGAAAATCTTTTTTGTATTCTGGTTGTGTGGAATGTATCAGCTGAACTGTTTCATAAGGCTATGAAAGAATTAATGAAGAAATGATTTAATAATAATAAACTATATTTAATTGTAGTATGAAGTTTAAAGTTTGTGTGAAATTGAAAATTTATACAGTTACTAAATGCTGTGAAAAGTGATTGTAAAATTCTTTTGGTTCCAAGAAGATTAATCACTGACGAGATGATTTTTGTTGCTGTTGTTGCTGATATTTTATGACAATATTTATACTTCACTGTCTTAATCACAGATGTAATGCAGACATATATGTCATATAATTTGGGATATGTAGAATAGTGTTTGGACAACAAAAGATTCTGTTTAATTCTCCATCAGTAATGATGATCATTACAATAGCATTGATGGTATAGCATTACATTTGTAGAAATAATAATTATCATAGCAATACCAACAACAACAGAAACTATGCATAGCAAATAAAAAATAATAGCAATAATAATAAAAACAAATGTCATCTCATGCCATTTGTTAAAGTCCATATTGTTGCAAACTATACATAGCTTTTTGCAGTACTTTTGCCGAATGTGACCATTATCAATTATTTTACTTTTCTTTTAGTTCAGTTACTTGGAGTATCTTGGTTGCCAGGCCAGCTGCTTACTGGTAAATGGAAAAAAAGAACTTTATGTCCTTGGTTCATCAGGAGGAAAAAGATTTGTTCCCAATGAACCAGCAGTTTTGTGCAAGTATCAAGCAATGTTTGGTAAAGAGTAAAAAATTTGCAAAGATCACAAATGCGTAATAGGCATAAAGTTTAACTTCTATTGATATGTCAGCACCAGTTTCATGGATACCAGTTACTGGATGGTAGTCAAGTAGATACATATGAGTAAGTTTCAGAGCTTTGCTATAATGTCATGTTACGTATGGTTGCAACATGTTCATCCCATCTCAAAATAGCATATTTCTAACGGTAAATATTAAGGTATTTTTGGTATCCGATAAAGTAGTTTACGTATATAATATCATGAAACCATTTGCTACACTGTGTTTCACGCCTTTTAACAATCACCAGGTGAATGAGAGTTTAGTTGATGCTTTATTTTACTTTTATGAATTTATATTTTGCTCAATCTATAAAGATATTGAGCACGCTTTTACAACGAAAATTCACAAACTATAATTTTCTATTGACAAGCCTGCTTTTTGATTTCTCACTCTTCATTAAATTCTCTAAAAAAAGTGAAAAATCACGAAGCAAGCTTTTTGGGATAAAATTGTAGTTTGTATAACTAAAAAAAAAATTGTATGCTATATTTGGTAGATGTAGACCGAGAAAAACAGAAATGGACTCATGAGGATGTAAGAATGCTCTTTAAAAAAGAAGTATAGTAAGTTAATTTTTTATTTATTCTTGTACGCAGGTCTTCACTATTGAGAGTGACAAGACCATACAGGTGTAATTTTAACCACCACAGGCCTGGATAAAGTATTTCACTCTATGGCTGCAAGTTTAAAAAAATCTTTTGTGAATAAATTTTTCATTAAATATCTTTGAAAACAGTATAATGTTGTTAATAACATTTATGTACAAAGGTTGCCTGTATATTCCTGAATGGTAGTGTTTACCTTACAGTGATAGTTTAATTTTACCTTTTGATACACCTGCATAAAGAAATCTTCTGTTTTTTAATAAAAAGTTAATGGAAGATACAAAATTTTTTCCTGTGAGTAATTTTGTAAAAATTACCCTTTTTACAGTCATGTTGTTAAGTCATTATGTTTGTTAGTTCTTCCCAGTGAGCATTTTTCTTAAAGGTGAAGCAAAAGGAGTGACTGGTTCTCGCGTTCCATTTCTTTCTGGTGGTTTTCTTGTTGAAGGACCACCAGATAACATTCGCCTAAAGAAGCCACGACAATATGGCTCAAAGGAAATACAGAAAATCGTGGACTGCCAGGACAGTATTTCCTTCATTCTTGAAACGTCAGAAGGTGCACCTTTGCAAGATTTTGGTGAAGACTGCAAGGAATTGCTTAGTAATGTATTCGAAAAATGTGACTTTGAAGTATCAAAAGAAGATGTGGAGGTATTGGATATTAATGAGACACATAGCATTTCTGAAATCAAAGAAATAATATCAACACACTGGAAAGTGTTATGTCCAGAAGCTTTGACAGAGTTAAAAAAAAATTGAATGCATATGTGTCTCAGGCAAATCATTTCGTTTTGCCTGTGTACTGTGATGATGAGGAAAGTCAGTTCTGGCTTTTTTCATTTACGGGATCTCTACAAGCTCTGCAGCAGATAAGCGCAAGAGGTAAATTGACAGGATGTTGGCTAAATCATGAGTCAGGCAATACCTTCCACCTTATTAAAAAAAAAGGAAACAATCTTTGGAAAAATATTATTAAGGACAATGCCAATGTAATTTTTGAGACTCATAGGTGTACTGATTATACCCAAACCTTCATATTGAACAAGTCCTTTGTAAGGAAAGTTACTTAAATTTTATCAAAACAGGGATACATATAGTTTTCAATTTCACACCAATGAAAAAAAATTCATTGTTTACAGTGGTAACAGGTAGCACTGCAATATGTGCATTGTAATAAACTCAGTTTTCAGTTTTAGTTGGAATGTAAATAAGTCAGTTTTAGTTGGATTGAACATGTTTTTTTAAAAGGTAATATTCTACTATTCACATATAAGCCATGCAGAATGCCTAATTATATAATTAAAATTTAGAAGATTAAAGCCCAAAAGTAAAAACTACATAATATAGAAAAATAATTTTTTTTGAGGGGGGTGGGGTTCTACCTTTCACCTACACAAAGACATGCACAATTTACTAATATCATATTTGTAAAAATAACTGTAATAATTGAGATACTTATGCATTAGTAAAAAATATTTGTGTTTGTGCCTTTCCTCAAATTTTTCTTATCGTGTGCCTCTGAAATTTATGTTAATTAGGGACTGCGCTAGCTATTTTAAACCATACCATTTTCCGTATGACATTGGTTAACATTTTCAATGGCGTCGATGTAGCTAATGCCAGAATAAAAGTAGACATGATTGCTATGAATTCGCTTCACCGTAGGAAAACACTTTCGTACAATGAACCCACACTCTCGAACAGATATACTCATATTTATTTCTCAACACTTTAAGAACATCTGAGCATTTTACGCGACATAAGGAATCTTGATGAAACAGAGTTGACAACCTATAATAAAGTGATATATAACGATTAAGGACACAAGTGACTGCGTTCACGGATTCCGGTTGACAAAAAACACCACAATGGAGACATTCTCACCAATTTGCACGAGCTTCTCGAAAGTGAGACGGTTTATGTTTTCTTCTTAATGCATCTTTTTTCGGCATTGCTTCAACTCAAATGACATAAATGGGCTTATACAGTATGCAACATAAGTGAGTAATGTCCATTGTCCATATATAAAATAATAACAATAGTACCGCTCGGTGATTGGTCTATAGCCGTGTGTGCATTAACCTGTGCTAACCGACTTCAACTCAACCAATCAAATCAATCTTTTAACCAAAAAAAAATTGCATATCGATGTAAATTTATCTGTTTCGAATTATTGTTTCTATACAAGAGGTAAAAACTGTTTTTCGTGTTTGCACCATTGCACTGGCTTATGCAAACCTTGAAGTAGTTTGTGAGAACTCGAGCAGATGCAATTGTGCAACCCAAGACCTTCGGTCTCCTGCTTGCACTGATCTGCTCTCAAGTTTTTCCAAAGGTCTGATTGGTTTGCATAAGGCAAATTGTATTTCTCAGATGATATATTAAATTAACACCTTATACATATTAAATGCCGCCCCCCCTCCTTTCAACGCTACTTACTAATAAAGTCCCGTCCCCGATAGACACCCACCACCTTCACAACATTACATTTATGATATATTAATTATAGTGGGATCACAATTTGGCTGATAAGAAATTTAGTTTGTCTTAATTTTGTTTTATTTGTTCACACAAACAACTAATATACACGTCTCTCTTTTCATTTCGCTGCACCACAACATCTAGAATTGATTAAACGCCATAGCTGTTGATAAATTCATTTAGGGTACCAACGAACACTCAAAATAATCAAAATAAAGCAACATATATATCATAAATGAATTCCACTTTAAAAATTTCGAAATTCGAACTCCGCTGCGTCGACATTTTCACTTTACGGTGCTTTTTGTGAAATAAACAGCACCGCATAATCCAATATCATCGAGCATATGTGATTGATGCACAAAAGTATGCAGTAGCCAGTAGCAATGTTTTGTTACAGCAAGTAGTTGACAGTTGTGGCTTTAAATTTTTTTAACAAATTATGTTTCAAATAAAATAATGATTTTTTTAGTTAGTACAACGACCCTTATAGCATGGACCTTATTAGTAGCAGAGTATGTTGCATCTTATAATAAAAACAACCCCCAAAAAACCGATCACGTTCTTTTCTTAACATCAGAATGCTCCTTTAGTAATACACAATACTTGCAATGATTACGGTAGGCGTGCAACATGACAAAAGTGTTCGATATGTAAAATGGCTTAGGTGTTCTGTGAAATGGCAGCAGTTCTCAGTAACGCAGATTAATAATTTAGAGTTTTATATTATTTCAATCCAAACACGTATTCGGATTCATTTCTCATTTACCTCTTACAGCGGCAGTGCCATCAAGGGTGCCGAACCAGACCGCACTCTCTCGTCAGCATCGTTTCGTTAGCTCAATTCCCTCATAAAGGTCTGATGTAGGATCTTTCGCTTTGTCAAATGTCAGACGATCGGGTAAACTATTTATAAAATCACGAAGAGAATCAATGGCAGCATTGTGTTTCTCAATTGTTAATTTCATCTTGTTCGTGATCTTGGTGATTTGCCTGGACAAGCGAGTGGAAATTTTCTGACCATCTAAACAAGTAAAAGGAATACAAAATTAACATTTACAAGAACAACAAAAGGCAGATATGGTAACATAGCTTAGGTTACAAGTATTCGAAATTTACAGTGCATTACAGTGCCTGCATACTTCTTTCTCAATGTTATTAAGAAATGCCTTTCTATGGAAAGTCCATGTAAAGCTCCGACAGTATCTTTTCGTTTTCTTTGTATGACTTGCAATGCAACGACGTCAAAATTAGGATGACCAGGTTTCCATCTTTCTTTTACAGAAAGCTTTCGTTCAATATCTTTTAAAATCTTTCGAAACCTGTTTACATAAATTTTGCGCGTATGTAAAAAAAAAACTTTAAAGCAAAATATTGCTTTGACACATTTATACATACTGGTATAGTTTTTTCGACATCTGACATCTGATGAATTGAGTAATCTTGAGATGTTATCTCCTGGTTTTCTTCAAAACATCCGAATGATGTAGCACTAAGAATTTAATAATTCACCAATTAGGCTCAAAAGAAATATTAAAACGTCTATAGGCATGTATTATAGAGAAATAGCCAGTTTAGTACATTAAAAAACCTACCTTAGTTGTTTAAAATGCAGTAGCTTTTGAACGTACGTCACTTTCAAGTTCTCCGTGGTTTCTTTATGTTCTGTATTTAAAAAGTACGTCTTTAAATCCTACAGACTGAATTGTTAAGAATGAAACTATTTGCCACGAATAACATTATATACCTGGGTAGACTCTTGACATAATTTCCTTCTTTCTTGCCTCCCACTGACAAACAATTTCAGGATCGTACGTCACTAACAAACAAAACAAATTCGTATTTCCTTGGATGCAAATTGAATTGAGAGTTTGGTTAGGCAAAAAGAAATCTTAAATACTTTTCGGCCACAGAAAACATTAGAAATTTCTAATCTACCAGAACTACTTACCAGGTAGTTCGCTAAACAAATCCTTCATTTCTTGTTGCGTTTTAATTTTAAGTTGTAGACATTTTTTAAGCTTCGACGTTAACGATTTTCCTAAAAAAAATTATATACAAAAAATTAAAACAATTAAGGCGCAACAAACAAATAAAAACATTTTCATTGTGTCAACGCATAAAGCAATGACAATATTCAAGCACCTGCATTGCTAAAATTTCTTCGAGATAAGTGAAGAAGAGCGTCTTTCAAAAGATCTACTCTTCTACTGGCAGACATCTCCTTAGTAATTGCTGAGTATCCACGAAGGTAAGCCCAGAGCCTTTCAATAGCCTCGCCATCTGTAAGACCAAAACCATCGAGCCTTCTAGGACTGAACTTGACCTGTTTTTTTGAAGACATTAAAAAATAATATTTTACCTACGGGGGCTTTTTATCAAGGAAGAAACCAGAGCAGAAAAGATTGTCTTTCTTCAATCGCTACATCATTACCCAGGGATGTACTTTTCTGGAAGGAGGGGGTGCTCTCGTTTGGATAAGGTTCTAGTGGCTGCTTGTTGCCGTAACATGCAAGACATTTTTCGTTAAATTTTGTTACTTATATACAATGATAGGAGACTTTTGAAATTGTGCTCCATAAACCCCAATTACGATCGCTTGATGGTTTGATATACATAAATTTCTTAGGAAAACTGCCACTCCTCATCCATCTCCACTAATCAAGGTTGGAGGACAGAACACTTTTGAATAGGCTTCAAAGTCCTTCATCATGCAATAATTACCTCTTCTACTTTGTTATTAGAGTTGCTATAATGATCAACAAAATCATCTACTTCATCCTGATCAGCAAACTTAAGGCAGCCATGGTTTGGGACAGCAAAACTATTCTCTGCCAACTTTTTGCGAGTTAGACCAAAGCAAGCATCCATGGAATGAATGGCCACACCTAACTCACCAGTCTAAAGCAAACAAAGCTCTTTAATAAAATGAAACGAATTTTATGGTAAACATGTAACACTTCATATTTCACAACAACTTTAAATGTTCTGATAATATATGTGACAAAAAACATATAATTTAAAATAGTTCACAAAGCAAATAGTAGATAAAAAGAAATCAAATACTGACTTGTGGGCAAAGAGGGCAATTTCTATAATCAATCAGGTCTTTCTGTAGGAACTTTAATGATCTGACTTGGTGTTTGAAATATCTGACAAAAAAATCAAATTCTTAAATGATATAATATATACAGTCAAACCTCTTGTATCAAATGACCCTGTACTAAGCAGATACTGTGTAAAATCCAAAACTTAATCTCATATAGCTAATAATAATGGAAGTATAATGATGAAACCTCAATCAAGCTGACACTTTCATTAAGCTTACACTAGTCTGTTGTCCAATGATGTGTACTTAAAACAGGTTAAACTGTACTACTCTACACATATAATCTAACTATTAGGTCTACAATAACTGTAAATAGACTTTTGTTTTATAACATATAACATACCTGTATTCATCGAATGATCCATTCTTTAACACATTATATATGTTTTTGACCTCAACAAGAATAAAATGAACACCTAGTAAACTTGTGCATTTGTTTCAAAAATAAAATAAGGTTGAATACACAAAGTCATAATAGCAAAGGAAACTTCATGTGCATTTTGAATGTGCTCTTACCTTATTTGAGGCAAATACGCATTATTTATGTTGTTTGTAAATAACAGTGATTGAATAATTTTTTTGCAAAGTACAACCCATCTATTTCCACTATTTGATGGGTAGACTATCACATGGTACACAATTCAGGTTTATGAGAAATACATACCAGTCTAGGTAGCATTTCAGGATATTCAACTTCAACAGTGCTGTAAAATTTGTGCAAGGATACATGGCTCTTGAGCAAGAATTTTTCAGCAAAATCCATAAAGTCAAAGTGAAATGCAATTTTGGGTTTAGAAGATGAGCCTGGCCACAGCTGGAGTTTGGTTGGTTTTTCAGCATCCTTAATACACTGACAGAAATACACAATTTTTAAATGCTGCCGACCTAAATTTTGTATGAGATTAAAAATTGGATTATTTGATATGCAAATAATTAACATAGAAATTATTGGCCTAAATGAAGCTAATACTTAACAGTATTACTAACATATACACATTTACATATAGTCAAAGTCAAAATAACTGTCATTGTTGCCATACTGTACCTTTTCCATCCACACATATTATAGTATGTGATTCTGTTGAAGAGCAGTTAGCATGCTGACTGTCACGTAATATACCATCATAAAGTAATGGAACAAACATTTCACAATCAGTCTAAAGAGTAGTTATTTAAGCATCAGAACATGTATACATTACATAAGGCACCATGCACAGCATATAGCAGCATATCCTTCTTGAAAATGATTGATAGTTTTAACAATACTACAGATTAAGTTACTTTAGAGTTAAGACATGGTTGTAAAAAAAGCCAGCATTTGATGAATACTAGATCTTCACAAGCCAATTTCCAAATGTAAAAAGCAAAAATATTTCATCTGAAGCATTGACTTTTGGAAATAATCACCTAGAATTGCCTTCTAATTGACGACTTAACTTGTTTATGTTTTGCTTGTCTTTTAAATTTTATAGGGATTCATCTGTGCTGCCAGAAAGAATTAAGCTTACCTCCCATACTTCAATCAAATGAAAACCATTCCTCGTTCGATGAAGGGATTCCGTACACTCAAAACAGTAGAACTGTCCGTGACCGCAATCACGACATCTAATTTCTGCTTTTTTTGCTGGTATCCAATCTTCTAAACATTTTACGCTGAGTTGTCCTGGCAACATGGCACAATTTTCGATGTACGACTTTACTAAATTATCTTGCAAACACTTCCAGGATTCGCTTTCATTCACTCTGCTCCTTTCATATTGAGATACAGTTCCACGTAAATTATTTGTACCTTTGTTAAGGTTTTCTTCAAAGCCTTCAAATGCATCGATCGTGCGAATGGGAAGAACAACATTAGGAAGAACAACATTAGGAGAGAGAGAAATATTTTTCCTACTAAGTTTCCCAGCCGCAGAGTATGTCTTCACAGTCAAAGAGTATGGTTTTACCCTGCGATTGCCGCTCCTACTAAGCGCCATCTTTTCTGTCTGTCTCACACAATGACTTATACCCAATCCTCTAGAGTCTAGATATCTAACTGCCGTTGTCACGGTGAGGCAAATTTTATTCGCGGGCGCCATCTTGAAAGGTGGAAAAAACATAACACGCAATATACGGTAGTATAGTTTACATGTCAAACTGACTCAAATATATGGTTGAAAAACGTTGAAAGCAATCAATCTTAAAAACAAACACAGGTATAACATCCTCAACTCTAAAATAACGTTCAAGAAGGACATTTTAGCTGCAAAGCGCGTAATTTTCGATTTTTCATGGTCAAATCGTGCGCCGCGTATGGATGTACAAATCGCTTTTGGAAAGAGAGTAACATAGCTTTTCACAAATTTCCCATTGAAAATAAGGATCTCTGTAAAAGATGGGTAATTGCTATGAAACGAAAAAACTTTACCCCAAACGCAAGCAGCTTTCTTTGCAGCGATCATTTTTTGCACGATGATTATAACACTGAAACGCAAGTTAAAGTTAGACGCGATACCTTCAGTGTTCGCTTTTCCGGAGAGACTACTATCTAAAAAGTCAAAAAGAAAGCCTCCTGCTAGAAGAGAGACAAAAACATCATCACCAAGCGCTAAAAAAGCTAAAATAGATTTGCTCGAGGAAAGTCTAATAGAAGAGACAATACCAACGCAAAATGCTGTAGCAAGTAGTCCCAGGAAAAAAAAATTGCGAAGAAAAATAAAAACTCTTAAGCAAAAGTTACGACGTAAGAAAAAGAAAATTCAGTCGCTAAGTAGTTTGGTGAAAAAGCTTGAAAAAGAGAAATTTATTTCATCAGACGCAGCTTCAATTCTCGATAACAACTTTTCAGGAGTAGGTGGGGAAATTTTAAAATCAGACCTAAAGAACAAAAATCGTGCTTCTACAGGCCGTCGATACTCAGACGAAGTTAAAAAGTTTGCGTTAACACTTAATTTTTACTCTCCACGAGCGTACAATTTTGTACGCTCGATTTTTACATTGCCATGTCCAAGCGCTATCTCAAACTAGACTTCCAGTGTAAACTGTGAACCAGGGTTTTTTGATGATGTGTTTTCATTTCTACAAGAAAAAGCAAGAAATAATCCGGAGTATAGGGACTGCGCTCTTCTTTTTGATGGTATGTACATTAAGTCAGGGGTTGTTTACAACAGAAGTAAAGGAAATTATGAAGGGTTTGTCAATTTTTGTGCGGATGTTGTTGCTTTGATCCAGACAAGGTTGCTACTGAAGTTCTTGTGTTTATGTTAGTTGGTTTACGAGGACATTGGAAATGTCCTATTAGTTACGTGTTATGTAGCGGAATAAATTCTTAAAATTTGAGTGCTCTGGTTAGCAATTCGTTTCGCTTAGCATCTTCACATGGGCTAAATATTTACAGTGTGACTTGTGACGGTACTGCCACCAATTTTTATTGCATGAAAGCTCTTGGTTGTGAGTTTGGATCAAATTTGTCTGACATTAAATACTCTTTTAACTATGAGTCATATGAACACCCACTGTTTTTTGTTCCTGATGCTTGTCACATGCTAAAACTGGCAAGAAATGCATTGTCCGATCTTAAAGTACTGGTTTCGAGTGATGGTAGTTTGATCAAATGGGAGCATATTGAAGTGCTGCATAAAGTTCAAGAGGGAGAAGGGTTAAAATTTGCAAATAAGCTGTCCACGGGGCACATTGAGTTCCATAGGCACAAGATGAATGTGAAAGTTGCAGCACAAACATTCAGCAGTTCAGTTGCAGATGCCATTGAATACCTGATGCTTTCTGGTCATCCAGCTCTTAGTGATGCGAGTGCAACAATAGAATTCATAAGGATTGTTGATCAACTTTTTGACATATTAAACATACGAAGTCCATTTGGCAAATATTTTAAAAAACCACTTTTTTATGTGATCACAACACATGGAAAAAAACTTTGGAAAAGTCAATTGAATACCTTTTTTCCCTTAAAACAAACTCTGGTGTTAGTCTGATCAAACATAGAAGAAAAACATTTGTTCTCGGTTTTGTAGTAGCAGCATCGAGCATTAAAGAGTTGGCTCACATTCTCCTTACAAGGGAACATGATCCTTTCAAATACATTCTTACATACAAAATGTCTAAAGACAACCTTGAGCTGCTGTTTGCATGCATACGTGGTAAGAATGGCTTCAACAATAATCCAGATATTGTACAATTAAAGTCCAGTATACGAAAAATTCTTTTAAGAAATTCCATCATTGGTTCCAAGCATGCAAACTGTTTGACTTTCGAAAATGAATCTGCTGGTTCTATTTTTTCATTAAAATGGAATAAAAGAAATGCTCCAGCCTTTGAAGTAGAAGAGATGACACCAAAGGACACACATTATGTCAGTAGCTTAGTTTCTGGATTAGAATCATGTTCACTGTCATCATACAATGAAGCAATACATGGATATATTGCTGGGTTTGTGTTAAAAAAGATAATCAATAGAATCACCTGTACTGAATGTGCAAGAGCTCTTTCGCTTAAGTCAAAAAAATCATCATCAGTTCATGATCATAATTATTCACACTTCCAAACTACTACATCTTTATCTTTAATCAGTTTGAAGAATCGTGGTGGTCTTGTTCTCCCTTCTAATGGTGTGACCAAAATAATATTTGCATCTGAAAGAGCTTTTCAAGTCCTCATTCATGAAACTCGTTCAAAGAAACAAAAAATTTCAAGCAGGAGAAACTTGACGACTATAATGGTTCATCTTATTAACCAAGAGCTTGATCACGAAGTAAAAACTGAAGATCTACATTAATCACAGCTTATCAAACAGATCATTGAAAAATACATCAATTTACGACTCTAGACCTATGGTAAGCGATATAATAAAGATATCCTCCACAAAAACAAAATTGGTGTTCGCCAGCAATCTACGAAGCTTGTTTATTTCAAGGAATCTAGTCGACTTCGATGAACATCCACACCACAACCAAGGAAATGTAAATCCTAAAAAAATAATTAATAGTGCTTTATTGTAAATAGTGAAAATAAGCGCATTTTTACAACGATTTGGTCATATTGTTAATAGATCTAAAATTATGTTGTTCAGGTAAAATAATTCATATAAACCGTAAACGTTGTGTTCAAATCAACGTTCTGGATAGCTGTTATGCGATTTTGTCGCTTTTTTTCTGTAAATATGTTTTTGGTTTACGATAAAAAGCATAGAGAACTGCAAAGAAGATGTAAATTAATAAATACTCACGATTAGTAGTTCATACTTATGTAACTCTCAGCCTTTAGTTTATGGTCGCAAAATACACGTTAAGACCGCTCTATCTCAAGTATTTAAAAATTTTACACATTTTAACAATACTAAAGAAATTACTCACCATTTTTAATGCAACTTCAGTAAAACAGCATCATAAAAACGCTCTCAAAGTCGATTTCTCTCAGCACAGACTTAAGCCCCGTTTACACGACAACTGTTTTGGGCACGGCACGACTAAATTTTGGCACGCGGGCCACTGTCTTTTATTGGGTCCGCTTTGTTTACACGTCAGTTTTTTAAGCGGGCCATTTTTTTAATAGGCACGCCTGATTTATAAAAACGGCCTGCATAAAGTATGAGCCCCAAAAAATAAGTGTTGGCGGATGACAAAAAAAATTAAATTTGGCGGCTTATTCGAAACTTCAAACATGGCGAACTTACATAATGATAAGTTAAAGATAGCTTTAGCTTGGTATATGCACTTCCGAAAACAACAGCAAACCGTTCACACGAGGTTTAGATGCTGCGTTTCTTCAGGAGTATCATGTCTTAAGAGAAATAAGCGTCGATTTGCCTTAATCAAAGCAGTACTGGCCTATTTGCATAAACCACGAGAAAGGTTGTTGTGGATGCATCCACGTTCACTAGTTTGGTTTGATATGGTCGATGAACTCTACAACGATGAACTGTGGTACGCAAATTTTTGCGTGACAAGAAGCACGTTTGAATTTATATTAAACAGGGTTCGTCAAGAAATAGATCGTAAAATTACTCCCATGCGTAATCCAGTTTCTGCAAAACGACGCCTGGCCATTACG